CCAACAAAAGCTTTTCACACCAACCACAGAAAGTAAAGCAGACTTTTTAAACATGTTTTTATTTGCAATAGTTTCTCACTAGTTTAATGATTGAATAAAACCTCATTTTTATTGCTTTTTTTCTTCGTGAGATGTTGCTGCATTGCGCTGCTCATGGCTTTGCACTGGTCTAGACCGGAGCAGAGAGGATTCACGGACTGAAAATCCACAGGAGGAATGCTAACTTTTAGAAAAATGCTAACAATACATTCAGCACCTACTCCACCTCTGCTGCTGTGACCCAAAGTACTGTTATATTTATACTATTATCAGCTACTTTTAGAACTAGCTACTTGTTTTGTTTGTGTGGATGGATGTGTTTTTGCTGCTTCCGGACACCTGAATTTCTCCCGCGGGGATCAATAAAGTATCTATATATCTATATCTACTACACACAAGCTTTTACTTTCTCTGCAACTTTAGCCGCACTGCCCATTCTATATTCCCTCCATGATGGACATAAAAAACACTCACTTTATTGCATTTGTGTTTTCTTCTTTTAATCCTGGCCGCAAATAAAGGCTCTCTTTGGGGACCGGAGTGAGAGGAATTGGAATAGGAGGACGGCGATTGTGAATATTTAAAATCTCATTGTAATTCAGCCTCTATACTTGAGCGTGCGTTTATTCTCCCAGGTTTAGCACATTCTCTTTCACGAGGTTAAAGGCCACAAACAGCTGTTGGTGAGATCTGTTTGTGTTTCATGAGGATTGATTATCAAGCGTGAACGTAGCCACGATTTCTTTCGTTCCCAGGACTTCTTTGTTGTTGTTTGCCAATAGCAGTTCGCTCACACATGTCAGTTTCTCTAAAACAAAGTTAATAATAATGATAGTAATGCATCAGTTTCATATAGCGCTTATTTTTGGACACTCAAAGACTATTCACATGTCAAAATTCATTCCCTCCATACACAGTGGTGATGAACTAGAATTGTAGCCACAGCTGCTCTGGGGCACACTGACAGTTATGATGCATATATTGAAAGCTGGGGTACCTAAAAACCCCCAAAACTATCTAATAAAATCCATCTGTCTCTCTCTGAAAACAGTTTGGTTCTATCACTTGTTTTCAAATGCATGTCTTTTTGGTGTATTCAAAAGTTTGCATAATACGTGTCCTTTAACACTGGCAGTCAATTTGACGGCTTTTGGTTAAAAAAGTTCAATCTTCCAAACTTTGACTCTTTTTGTTTCTATATGTAGTTTAATTCTATGTCATTATTATTATTTTTGAATATTTAAATGTATTTATTAAATGTGAGGAGTTCCACCTAAGTATTTTCGATTGCTTTCTTTCTATGACAGCAAAAGCGTTGCTGGTACTGGACTCGTTCTGGTTCAATATGGTTTTCCTCCAGAGAATAGCGAGTGCTGGTCACCATAGCAACACAACACACTGTTTACTGTCAGCAATTTTATGAACCGGTTTTAGCACTTAGTAAAAACTTTACCCACTTTTAATAAATCTGGTAAAAAAACTAAAAATTTCTTTGAATTGCATCGGTTCGAATGGGAGCAGTCAAAACGACAGCTCGAGGAGTTCCAGTGGTTTCATAACTGTGGGAGATGGTTTTAAAGCAATGTCTCTTAGTCATTTTGATACATTATAGAGTTCTGGCTTTTTCTGCTCTTTGGCATTGGTCGAGAAGGATATTGAGAAAGGGCTCTGAGTACAGTAATAATGATCTGGTGGATGGACACTTTGGAGACTTCCCTGGTGCAGAGAGAGCCATGGTTTCTTGGTAACTGCAGTGGTTGAGTATAGAGCCGTGTGCGGAGGTCGACAAAGGCCAGAGTGCTGCTGTGTACTGCTGCTGGACCTCACTTACTCTCTCTCAACTGAATACTCACTTATACACAACACTTTCCACTTTTACTGACACACAGTCTGCACTAAAGTACATCACAGGAGCAACTTTTGCACGAGTGACTTTCTCAAATATATATACTTGAAAGTGTATACACCCAGCAGTCGTTTGCCAAATTTATTATGAAGGATAACACACAAGCCGCATGCATGAGCAGGTCTTACTAGGCGGCCCAGGAATATACAGTAGATTATTGGGCAGCTTTACCAGCAGAGAGGAAGAAGCTACTCATCCACAAAATTCAATACCCCTGCTATGTCGTTATTATCAGTGTCATTATTACTATGTCAACGAGTGTGTGTGTGTGTTTGTGTGTGTGTTGGCAGGATTGTGCAATAAAACTACTGGACTGACTGACAGAGTGTGTGTGATATCAGTTTACTGCTAATGCAATAATCAAACAATCAATATTTATTTGTAGAGCGCTTTTCCGACGCAAGTGCTTCTCAGCCCATATCACATTAGGCCTTACATCATAAACATTAAAATCACACAAGGCAATAACCATCTTATGGTCTTAGGACTGGGACAACACAAGAATCATCGATCAGCAACCGAATAAATACAAAGACTGGATCAAAGAAGCAAAAGAGATCAGGACACATGGCGTGGAGCATTTCAACTCTACCGAACCTGGCACTCACTTCTCAAGTAAACCACAGATCAGCAGAGGGCGCAGTCAGCCCAGTAAACTAGTGCCCTGCACGGGCCTATTATTTCGGCCCAAGTCCGGGCCCGGCCCGAGGGGATGGCACCCCACCCCAGCAAGTTTTCAGAATTCCCAATACCAGTTTTTTTTTTTTAACCTCCCATAACAATGTTTTAGCGTAGTATATAGTGCGGCGCACTGATTTGAACACAGGCCCAGGTAGAGGGCGGAGTTATACATGGTAGTGATGTGTTGCAATGAGTTCTGTGTGTTTGGAGTGAACGGCCGCAACTGTATGATACACCGCTGTATGATACACAGCTGTATGATACACCGCTGTATGATACACCGCTGTATGATACACAGCTGTATGATACACAGCTGCTGCAATAAACTACAACACACTTGAAGGTGTTCGTCTATGACAATACTATACAGAACAACAAACACTACAGCGCGATAAAACGTGAAATTCAGTGGGTGCATTCATAAATATAATCTCCCGCTCTGAAAATGAATAAATAAAAGTGCCCGAGCCCGACCCGTGTCCGAGGTAATTATACGGTCATCGGCCCGAAGCCCGATCCTTGGGCTGTCGGGCCCCTCGGGCCAAGGGCTCAAGTGCAGGGCTCTACAGTACACCACAGACCAGCAGGGAGCGCAGTCAGCCCAGTAAACCACAGGCTGACTGGGAAGAGCAGCTGATAAGGATTTGGACATGTGTGATGTCACGAGACGACTCTGAGGAAGACGGAAGTTTGCCGGGTAATAATATCACTATCTTACATTTGTCTGGTATAGATATCACTTTATAATTTGTGTTTAGAACAGTCCGCACACAGGTGACATAAACTAGAGAGGTTATACTTGCTTCTTTATTAAGCGAAAGTTTGCATTATTTTTCATTTGTTATTGTTCATTTGTTCCTTTGTAAATTTCTCCATTGTGAGATAGGTAAAGTTTATCTTATCTTATTTGTTGTATGCTCCTCATTCCTACTGTTCTGTAACTGGTAATGCAACACTGACATTTCCTCGCCGTGGGAACATTAAATTATCTCTTAATCTTACTCTAGAGCCACAGCTTCAATCCCGGCCTTGATTTTGGATTGACTAACATTTAATCTTGACCTGTGACCTGTTATTCTGAATAATACAAACATAAGGATATAGAATGTCTATGTTTCTAGGTAATTAGCATTGCTTCTAATTACAACTCTAATGTTAATCAACACAAAACGCCTGCAGATGTTTGATCATTCAGCTCTGATGTTATTCTTGTATGTTTTAAGTGTTACGAGTTAATACAGTCATTTAGCTGAAATAAAGGCATTAAAACGAGTTATGAATATTCATGCGTTTGTTTCAGCGTTGGAACAGTTGTGTAGTGAAGCCAACTGTCACCTGAAAACGACTTTACAGGATGGTCCAAAAGTCTTGGCCCAACACTATGTTTCAGATGCGTGTCAATGCTGAGGGGAGTATATTTTTTGTATCAGTCTAGTTTAGCCGCTGTGGACTTTTGAAGATACTCTTGAATGGGCCTGAATGGGAACGAATGGGCCTCATGCCGGCTGTTGCATGCACAGATGCGCTTTTTCAAAAATTTCCTGCCCCCCATATTATGGTTTTTGACTTTTCTCTGGTTTAAACATGATAACGGCACTATTTGACTTTCATACACATGCCCAGAGTCGTTTTTTCATTGATTCTCTGAAGCATTAGTTAGAAAGCGATCTTTCTCTTTCATTCTCAAGAGGCTCAGAAACAGCTCATTTCAAATTGAGACGTGCACCAAGCCGTGACAAAGCCCGCCTCCAAGAGGTGATTGACAGCGGCGAGAAACTGAACCAGCGAATCAGTGCCTTCTATGGTCAGCCCATGCAGCCTCTCTCTGAGTCCAGCGTGTGGTCCATAGACGGTAAATAAGTGTCTGTGCTTTTTTGTGTTAGCTTCAGGTCAACTTTGAGAAAATTTGATTTTTTTGTTGTAAATTAGTGACAAACAGAATTTGCCCGAAGATGGAGTAGACAGGGATCTACAACTCTGACATCCATAAGTCTGTAACCCTATCCCAGATGTTTTTCTGTGAGTGATGGAGACACCACCAAAGACTTTTCCAGAACTACGGTTACCTTGAAACAGTCTGTGAGTACAATGCAACTAACTCGCTGTATGTCACTGTGAACTAAATAATTAGGTCTGATTCTGGATCTAGATCCACTATGCAAGAAAGGCCTATAATTTGACAGAGTGTTGTATGGTGTACCACCCAAATTATCATCACACATGCTTAGAATGGACAACAGGAAGTAGAATTGAGGAAGACACAGGGGTAAAAATTACAAAACAAAACAGGAAATAAATCTAAACCATGACTGTATAACACAACTGTTTTATGTGTATGACACGTTTACATGTTTTGTCGGAGCCCGTCACTCACCGTGCGAAGCATCTTGTCCTCCAGGTCCTGGTTGATCCTCTGCAGCGCTGCATAGCTGCTCTGGATTCTGCAACACACACAGAGGCTGAGTCAGGCTGACACACGCACACGCACACACACACACACACACACACACGCACACCTCTCACGAGGACTGTATCATATTTATAGCCCGGCAACAAGGGGCTGAGGATTGTGATCTACAGATAAAGAGATTAATGAGAGCTTTAAGAGCCTCTGGGGGAGCTCTGAACAAAACACACTTTCTCATGAGTTTCTCGATGTTTTTCGCTTGAAGGAGACATATGCTAATGTTTGAGCATATGTTTAAGCTGAATGTTCCCTCAATAACAAGCCGGGAGCAGAAACTTGTTTTATTCACGTTAAATTGGCTGGAAACTCTTTCCTGGCTTTCTAAATGCAAACAAAACATGGCAACATAGAGAGGGGGGATGCTAGAGTTAGAGATTTTATGTTGCTAGAGTTAGAGAATTTATTTTATTTTAGTATTTAGTTATTATTCATTTATCCTGTGCTGTGTAATATCATTTCCTACATGCAACTTGTGTTGCAGCACTGAAATTTCCTCACTGTGGGACGAAGGATCTTTTTATCTTAATCTAAATCGTAATATTTGCCAGGTTTTAAGAGTAGTACAAATGCTGAAAAGGTTTCTGCAGTTTTGTATGAATTTAAATCTGAGTATATCTGACAAAAACACATCTGTCAAAACAAAACTGAATAAATAAAACAATTCAATTGTACTTGAATCGCACAATTCATACAGTATGCAAGAAGAAAAAAATCATAAATAATCACAGTACAAAAAGAGTGAAGATACAATCCTTCAGTTGTAGCACAGTTAACAACTATTTTAACCCGGATTTCAACATTGTCAAAGAAGAAGTCTGACTCACATTTTCAGGTAGACTGTTCCAGACTTTTAATAATCCTCCATCACCCAATTGCTCGACTGTACTACTTCTGTGCCCTGTTCAGTTGATTTAGAGGAGCAGTATGTAAAAATCTGGCCAAAAGTTGTACTGTAACTATTCCCACTCTCCCTGACTCAGGTTGCCAGATATGCAGATGAATCAGCTGGGATCATAATAACTGATCAGACAAGACAACAACAAATCTATAACCAACACCTTTTTCACAAAGGCCCTGATAACAATCCTTGTTTTGTCGTTATTGATTTGGGAATCAGAACAAGTCCTGTGGCCACATGTTACTTTACCAGTGACATTAGTTTGATGCGGTGAGTTCTGGCAACCTGGATCATGGACTTTCTGATTGGTAAAACAATGGAGGGCGGGACATCAAAATGAAAACAATAGCAAGATTTAGGGGATTGTTATTGTTGCCTGCCTTTCGACAGATTAGGGCCATTTAATGATGACTTGACATGAAAATCTTACATATTGCTACTTCTATCCATCCATCCATTTTCTTCCCCTTATTCCATTTCTGGATTGGGGGGATTGGCAGTCGGAGCTGCACCCAGTACACATAGCACCAGCCTCTCACTGATCCTCCTGCAGGCATGGTGAGTCCACAGGAGGATGCTCTATCAGTCATGACACAGCCTTCAGGCTTCAGGCAAATTGTCTTGCCCAAAGACACAACGGCAGCAGACATCAGTGAGAGTCGGTGGCCAATGCTCTACCAACTTAGCCCCTGTCGTTCTAGTGCTACTTTAAAGAAGGATTTAGAGATTTGACGACAATGCATCATCCATTCACTCCACACTTGTAGGAGTGGAAAAGTTCAAAAAGTGATGAAAATAAGTCAAAAATTGCTCAATTGGACAAAATGTATTTTAATTTAAGCACATTGTGACTGCCTTAAAACAATACTTGCCAATGAGACAAGCCAATTGATCTTGTTTTAAAGATACAAGAAAGGTCTCACTTGGAATGAGAAATCAAACGGCTTTGTCCCGTTGGCAAATCTTGTTTTCAGACAGTCAGAATGTACTCAAATTAAGAAAAATAATACTCAATTGAAGCACTTATTACCTCATATTTAACCTTTATTTGCAGTGTTCAGTCACAGCTGCCCTGAGAGAGACTCTGCAAAGACTGCCAATCTGTGCCATCAGCCGCCCGGCCCATCACTTAAAAAAACCAACCTAACAGAAGTCGCTCTCTCAGCACACTGACTCCAGCCTGTTATGTGAATGTGGTAATAGCAGCTTTGTTTACTTTATAATGCCAGAGCGTCTCCGGAGCCAATTGGCGAGAACATTGAAAAGCCGGGCTAATGGCCACATAAAGCAGACACGCGCCCGGTGAACGCTGGACGCTGTGTGAAAGAATATATACGGAAGATTTAGGAGAGCTTTTATATCACGGCCAGGATACAAGCCGCTGTCGGAGTGATGGAGGACGCGGCTGTAAAACCCACCATTATGAGGGCTCATTGGAGACGGGCGTGAGGTCTGTTTGCCTGGCCCACGCCACGCCATCCATCACCGCTCTAACAGGCGGAGGGGAGGGGAGGGGGGGGGTTGCCAGTCAAAACAAGGATCCGTGTGCCCAGGGAGGAGGGAGAGTCCAGAGTGTAAGGCAATTCCACTTAACTAGTTTTATTAGAGATGCAACAGATATTTAGGGTGTATTCAGACCTGAAAAGTCCTTTGCTCCGCTTGCTTGATCCGAATCAAAAGCGGACCAAACTTTTTTCTTTTGCTCCGGTTCGTATTCAGACTGTCCTTTTTGCAAGTGAACTTTTTTATATAAACATATTGACACGTGTGACGATCGGCTCCTATTGGACAGAGAGAGCTCACGGAGGATAGACGCGGAACCAGAGGAAAACATTGAGGGCTCGTATGTGCAGCATGTCTGCTCTGCCCATGTTTGCTCTTTTTAGAGCAAAACCACCTTCAACATCAACAGCAGCAGCTCATATGACACCGGCGAAACACGTTGTTTTAAATATTGGAACAGCGTCGGAGAATGTGTGAGGAGAAAGCCGAAGGAGACTGTCTGTGCGCTCCGTGTCCTTTCCCACACATGGATCTATGATAATAACGGCCCTGTTCAGCATTGTGGATAAACCATGGATCTATAATAACCACGGGACAAACAGACGCTGAGGATCAGGTAGGAACCAAAGAACACAATTCACTACATGATGCGGGATATTGCTCTTTGAGACACGAGTCAAACAGTGTCAGGCTTTTAATAATGCAAAGTATTTAAAGATGCTGCCATTAACATCACTGTATACTGTGGACAGTGTAACTCCATGAGCCTGTTGCACAGCGTCTCCTCACTGCTCCAGGTCTGCACACGGCTCAGTGTTGTTGTGTAGCGTTAGCATCATAGTTAGCCGCTGCATGGCTAATTCCTCAGTTTCTGTCTGCGGCTTGTTAAGCCCAAAAATGCGCACGTATCTTGGAGTTGTGTCGGATCGACACCGGATGTATTCAGACCTGATTCGACTTGGACCAGAATTCGTTTGGAAGCGGACCGAGACCACCTCAAAAAGTGGGTCTCGGTTCGGTTCTTTGGTCCGGACCAGGATTCGTTTGTGTGTATTCAGACCTGCATAAAAGCTTCGGATCAGAGTTCCAAACGAATCCTGGTCCGTTTAAAGTGGAGCAAATGTGCAGGTCTGAATACACCCTAAGGTACAGTGCTGGAAATGGTTTTTCCAGCACTGTTGCAGCTATTAGACACATTAAAATATATTAATTCTGCTGGACACCTGCATTTCTACTACGGGGATCAATAAAATAACTATCTCTCTTATCTATCTATCTATCTAACAGTGTGATGGAGGACAGCCAAATATCTTTCCTGAGAACTATAGTAAGTGTCTAAAACCAGAGTCTATAGTATAGAGCTAATCTCTCTGTCATTCCTTGGAAAATTCACATGAAACAAAAACTGTTTGTCAAAATCCACATATTTGTCAGAACATTGCAACTGTTGTCCCATTTTTTTAATCATAGAAGCATCTAGACAAGTAGTTGTGTTGGCATCTACTGAAGGACTATTCTTCATCATGAACACAACCTACTTATTCATTTGTTTGTTTGATGAACAACAGTGTTATATACACATTTCAGAAATATCGGATTTTGTGGGGATTTTTGTGTCCCATGTCATCCTGAACTTTTTTTCTTCTTAAATCCTTCGGTTTTCTTTAAATCAACACTTTACTGCCACAAACTCTGCTCCTTTCCTTCCCGCTCTGACTCCGCTCTGCCACTGCTCTGATCAGCATTTCTGATTGGTCAAAGCGCAGCTGAGCCCCTCTGTGCACGTTCATGAAAGCCACACACGCTAATTTGGCGCAATGCATCATGGGAGCTCGTTCACTGCGCAGAACCGGGAGGACCAGACAATGCCCAAATATAGGCGAGTTCTGCTAATCTCCCGGGGCCGTATTCCTAAAGATTCTGAGAGTCCTCTCAGAGAGCTCTTATCTTAACCTAAAAACTCCTAGCTAGGAGTCTTAGCTTAAAAGTTATTCCAGAACACTCTTAAGCCTAGCGTACATCGGACTGGCAACTGATTATATCCGTCGCCTCTGAGTTGCTGCCCCGCACACATCGACAATCTGGCGAAAACGGGCAACTCTGAGTCGCAGGCCAGTCTCTTGAATAACAGTGCGTACATCGACAGCAACTGGCCTCAACTACAGTGTGTTTTCTGACATTAACTGTTGCGGGCTCGCAATACACGCAATACACGCACGTTGTTGGAGCGGCGCATGGAGCGCGCACATCGGGGCAACTGAGGACAACTAGTTGCCGAAAAGTAGAACACGGGCAACTGACTGGAACTGGAGACCGACTGATCATCTCCAGTTGTAAGAGCGCGCACATCGACCGATTTCGCCAACTGATCATCTCCCACCGTCTCCTCTCAGTTGCCAAAAGCCGCCTTGCAACTAGTTGTCCCCAGTTTCTCTGTCGATGTACGCTAGGCTTTAGAGAACTTTGAGCAAGGAATTGACAACAACTTTTATCTTAGTGAGGAGGCGTGGCCGACCCCGTTGCTAGGTATGAGTCATCATTTCAGACGCTGTGATTGGTTGATCCTAAAAGTTAGAACAAACATATTTTTGATGATAATAGGCAAAATAAGGGCCCTAAAATGGACAAACTCAATCATGGAATCTAATCTTAGGAACACTGTGTTATTGTAAATAATAACCAAAAGCTATAAAGTCAGATATATCAATGGTACATAAATACTGTGAATAGTAAAGTTAGACTTATACACCATCATCAGAGCTTGCTCAGCACCAATTTATCACACATAATACGTATATATCATGAGCACTTATAATTTTATATATATATATATATATATATATATATATATATACATACATATAATTTAAATATTACTCTATATATAATATACATGATAAAGAAAATTATTATAATAAATATTATATGGATAAATGATGATAATGATAACGTTAGGATTAGTAAAGGCTGTGATATGTATAGACTTATAAGGAATTAAGGAAACAATATTAATATAAACATATTATACATACACTGTACAAATCAAGTACAAGGGAGCTTAAAAGTCTTATCCTCTCCCACTCCTTTTTGAGCTGGATTGTTGTTAATAAAACAAAACTGTATATTTGTACTTCTATTCTGTTGTTGTTTTGTTTGTTTTGTCCTTTTTTTTCTTGTTTGCCATGGCTCAAAATAAAGTATTCATTCATTCGTACTGAATGTGTGACAATTTAGGACCACTTTTTCCTCTCTTTCAACTTTTACCATTTCTACTTACTTTTGTGTAACAAAGGTAAAATGGATGAGGTGTTATTGCTGACCAGCCAATGAGAAGCTGGTCACATGATTGACTTTTAAATATACCACAAACATGATTCCTGCTTGAATCTGTAGCGTTTCACTGATTCACTGTCATCCAGTGTATAGAATATTTCTCCTGTCTCCACCGTCCACCATTTTGTGCTCTTAGGGAACTTTTAAGTTGCTAAAAGTCCTCCTCTCAACTCTTAAGGGATCTCCCCTTAAGAGCACTCTTAAGAGCTAGGATTTTTTAGGAATAGCTTTTATCTTAACTAGGAGCTACTCCTCACTTTTAGGGGAAATTCTAAGAGTTGGTCAAGATTCTAAGAAAATTCTTAGAATTTGGCCACTAGGAGCAACTTTTAGCAGTAAGAATCTTTAGGAATACGGCCCCCGGTCTCTGTGAAGTCCCATGCGCAACTGAGCACAAGCCATTCATTTAAATAGGGCGCCATCTTGGATCACCGGGGCTTGTATAAACAGAGCGTCCAGATTAAACCTACACAGACATGGGGAGAACATGCAATCCCCACACTGAAATTCCCATCCGGAGGTGAAGTCAAACCCAGGATCTTCTTGCTGTGAGTGACAACCACTGCGCCACTGTTCTACAAACCATTGATCTCTAATTTTGTGTGTGTCCAAGTTTTTCTGTAACTTTGCATAAAAGGAGCAGAGCACTAGCCTGGCCTTAGCCATCCGTACATTCCGTTCAATCATCATTTCACTGCATGTAACGTCTGGGTCTGGTCCCTGTGTTTGCGATTACAATCGGTTGAATTTCGACCCGACCATTCAGAGAGCGCGGAAGGTGGGTGTTGTAGTTAGTTGTGGATGATGTCAAGAGTTTGCGTCAAACAGGCAGGTTGTGGTTTGACAATGGCGAAAAATGCAATAGTAAAGTAATCTGGTCTGGTTCTATCAAGAAATTGAAGCCAGAGCAAGAGGAATGTTTAGCAAATGTAATCGCTGGAAAGATTGTGGCTCTACTCCCAACAGGCTCTACTGGAGCAATCCAAAATGGCCGCGAGTGGTCCCGCCCACAAGAAAATTGTGAATGCGTCAGCCGGAGCAGCTCCGTTCATTTGAACGAGAGACTTCAAAAATTCACAGCAAGTAAACTAGAGTGGACCAAAAAAATCCACCCCCCTCAGCATTGACACACATGTGGAACGGAGCTTTGGGCCAAGAGCCAACTTTTGGTCCATCCTGTAAAGACGTTTTCGAGAGGTCTGCCAATGCTATATGTTAGCATTGGCTAATTCTTCTTCTGGGTCCACCCCCATCGGCCCGGGGTGGTATTGCAAGCATGTCAGCGCACATCATTTTGGCCACTTTTGAGCCGGGACCCGCCCCCACTGCAACAGACTCGGGCAAATTGCATACGTCATGGTAAACTCAAATCCAATCGTTTCAATCTGCAAAAGGAGTTAACCCCTCCCACCTGTTCACGGAGCTCAATGGATCACCTCCAGAACTTAGTACGAAATTTCATTTGTACTATGGTGTGGTACGACCAGGCTAGCAGAGCACAGATCCATCCGGCAGAACTAGAATGTACGGACATAGTTTTTAACTCAATATTGAAATTCCAAATGTACTAAACAAACAGTAATGACCCTGATGTATACATAGAACTTGTATAATTGTCTTGGCCTGTTCATAATTGATTTGACAATTATCAATAATGTCATTTTAAAAAACAAATAAAGTGAGTATTGATGTGACAGGAGAAAATAATGGCTTTTTCCTCCGTGTTAGCTCCCGCCGCTGCACATTGGCCTCATAAATTAAGACGTATGTGGCGGTTTTATTTGCTGTCATATAAGATTCATAAGGATGGAGGGTGTAAGTACATGCTTTATGGCTCGGTAATACTGTCATTTATCAAAGGGACTCCGGGCCCCGCACACACTGAGCTCCAGCCGTCTCTGAGCTAACACAGCGGAACGTGAACGATCCGGCCCCTCATCAGACACCCATAAAACTGAGACCGAAGACAGAAGATAAAACTGTTGTTATTGTTTTAGGCTTAGGGCCCAATCTGAAAGCTATACAAAGGTACAAAAGACATAAGATGAGATTTGGAGCTGGGGTACTGTACCTTTTCAAGCACAACTTATGTAACTAAATGTGTATTAGCATTAGAATATTCCAAAATATTTCAACTAAAATTGTGATAAATGATAAATAATGACTCATTTAACTAATTTAATGGGCTCATATTTATATTCTCCAGAATATTAAAGGAGGTCTCCTGGTGAAAAAGGTTGGAGATCTATGGATTTATAGAAAACTGAGGAATTTCAGAAATAAAAAAGTTAGGAATGAAAAGGGACACTACATTTCCCACAAAGTCCGACATATGTGAAATCTTTAGGTTCCCTGTTTGCGGAGGATGAGTTGTTTTAGTTTACATTGAGGTTAATGGGGAAAATCTCCTCACAGACCGTGGGAATTTAAGCTGCAGTACCGTTTGTGACCACTTGTCCTTTTGGAGACGGGTTTAATTAGCAACATACTATCCAGATAATATAATAAAATACATACAACTCAATTTAATTTATTCTTGTATAGCCCTAAACCATGACAGTGTAGTTCGCTTGGAGGACTTTACAAAACCATTGAATTTGCCAAAACAGATTAGAGAATCAAGCAGCACAAGAAATGTAATGATAGAAAACACGTAAGGGGCAGATGACCAATGTCCATAAATGTTGATAAATGTTAATGTCCAGGATAATCACATCCATTATAAGCACTCACTTTTCCATTGTCCATTTTGTCGAAAAACATACTGTGAGAACGAGAAACGCAATGGGCCCAAAAAGTTCTGCACATTTGTGAAAGTTGTGTCTTCAGACTCAGAAAGTCTGTACCACGCAAAGTTCACCTTTTCCCCACAGACTTCTATCATGGACGACTCTTTGCTGCGGGCAAAGTCTGTGAGATCCATCCAGACTCTGGAGCCTCAGTCCTGGCACAGTGTGGGGAGTGTTCGGGGGCCAGGCTCCAGATCCAACAAGAGACAGGATATGGAGAGATGATAGTGAATCCAGCAACCACAAGAGCCAAGCCCAGTGTTGTTGTTCAAGTATGGCTCACTTTCATTATCCATCAACAGCAGTGAAGCCAAAGGGGATATGTATTATTATTATTATTATTATTATTATCATTATTATTTTTACTATTGTTATTATTAATGAAAATAATAATTTATATTATTAATAATTCAGACACATAAAAGGTCCATAAAAACCAACTCTCTCGCTCTCTCTCTTAATAAAAAAAACCTGTTTACTTTAGGGATTGACCAATAAAGGTTTTCTGAGGCCAATGACCATTTCATTTTATTTTTAAAATTATGGATGTGTTGCTAGCTTTAACCCGTTCACATGGAGGCCGTGTTCACAATGATCTACTGGACTCGACTCAAAATGCAGCAGGTATAATAAGGTTTTCTGTTTCAAATGCATTTGTTTGTTTCAACATAAATTATTTATTTTTGATATACAGTACTTCTGTATTAGTAACAAATCCGACCACAAAGTGCTAAATTGGAAAACGTTTACAGTATTATTTGATTGGTAGAGTGAGTGAGGTCCTTTAGATATCCCTGATCTAAAGATGTGACAGAGGCCAAAGAAAATTAAATGAAAAGAAAAAAACCTAACAGAGATGGTCACAAGGAATTTTGTTAATGTTGTGGTTTTAAAGGAACGTCATCCAGCTTGAACTGAATATTAACTGGAAATGTGTCTTATTGTTTGGTGCTTTCACATCTGCACAAAGTGTATTTAGCCCAAAGAGAACCAGAGTCCTTGACTGGATATGATATCTGATTCACCACCAAACCACCAAACAAGAACAAGGGTCCACTATGGTCTCATTTAGTTTACAAGTGGACCAGACTAAACTAAACTATGGTCATGTTTCCACCAGCACCACTTGGTCCACCTCAACTCTACTCTACTCTACGCAACAAAGCACTATCCAGGGTAACCACTATTCCTTGGTAACCATAGTTTCTAGCAACACTTTGATAGTAACAGCTCTGTATGGAACCAGGGCCCAGGAGGTGCTAAAAAATATCTGGTACCGGCTAGTGGAAATGTTCCAAATCGAGATAGAGTAAAGCAGAGTAGAGCTGTGTAGAGTAGAGCCAAGAAGGGCTGGTGGAAACGGGACATTGAAGCCACAATGACGTGTTGTGTGTGTATCTGAGCCTTCTCACCTCCGCAGTTTGTCGGTGAACTTCTCGAGCTCCTCCTGCGCCCTCCTCAGCTCCGTCTCCAGATACTGCCGCGTGGAATCGAACTCCGACTCCACCATCTCTAGTTTGTGTGCGGTGTAGGACAGACGTTTCCGCAGCTCCTCCTTCTGGTCGTGGTAAGAACTGCAGACACACAGGTTTTTCCAGAGGTTACACACATAGCGTTTATGAGGAATAAAAACAGGAAAATGCAGCAGAGTGGGGATGTGAAGGGAGATGGTTGGCTCACGTTTCTTACGGACAGAAAGTTTAAAAAGGTTCTCATTATTAACTTTGGTGGAGGCCGCACCTGCTCGATGGTATTACTTTCACTGAAAAAATCTAAGCTGTGCTGGGACAAGGCCAATTATCAACGGCATTATTTGGGGAATGAATAATTGTATTCAAAAAAACAGACCCCAACTTTTCAACATATCGACTTCATTGGTGCCAGAGACCAAAATACAATATTGTATTTTTCTAAATACTGTACTGTGTCTCTATATGGTTCAGTAAAAAAAAAGTATTTTGGCCCCTTATCTAAAACTCCACCACATTGGAAAAATGCAACACTATTCCTGCTTTAATATTTCATTTATTGATATAAACTCAGTCCTGGTTGTACAACCTGTCCGTCTGTGGGAGTAGATCCCGCTCTCAATATTGACCTTTTGTCTTTTTAATCGATTCTTGTCGATGCAGGAGGGTCTAAGGACAGTGAGGGTCCGGGACATTTATGAAAATTGGTCTTTGTGCTCTCTATGGACCAATGGCTCCTGTTTGATTCTCTGATATGTTGTTGACGAATAGAAAACTTTGTAAGTCCTCGGAGATGACATTGAAGCTATCCAAAAACAAGCTAAATAAATTAGACTAGTATTAGAAATATAGATCAAATGATAGATTATTTTTGATCTTTGTGGGTAAAAATAATACAAAAATCTGACAAGAAATCAATGATACCAAAAAGAATGTTAATATGCATCAAAAAATAGTCTTAATTTTTCTGAAATTGTGACCCTTGGTCAAATTTTGTAATGGGTCAAGTTTCACAATACTTTATAACAATGTAAAATGTAATACCTATGCAACACCAATTTAATACCTAACAAAAACAATCCATCCATCCATTGTATTCCCCTTTATCCATCTCTGGGTCGGGAAGGGCGGCAGTCAGAGCTGCAGCCAATTCACAGAGTGTGGGCTTCAGGTCTCATGGTGGGCCCAAACCCACGACATTCAGGTTTAAAGGCCATTGCTCTACTGATAAAGGTTTTTTTTCTTTATTTTTGTGTGACAAAAATTCCATAATGAGTGAAACCGCAATTATAAAGTCACTGCTGTATTCTGACCTATTTGTGATGATTGTGAGTGTGGAGAGACTGCATGATATTAAAGTGTGACAGAAAAGACGCTCAGGAAGACTCTGTTTCCCCAAAGACACCGGCAGCTGGCACTAATTCCCCTGAGGACTTCTTTCTGTCTTTCTTTCTGTAGTTTGCCAAAATGCTGGTGAGCTGGCCCCCAGAGCAGCAGGAGGAGGAGGCTCTGGCACGTCCACATAGGACATTGTGTCCGCAGAGGAGTTTGTAGATTAGAGCAAATCTCCGGAAGAAATAATGTAGAAATTCAACCAAACATTTTCTTTTTTATTGCTACCTCTATCACCTGTGCGTTTGTCTCAGCCTATTGAAATTTGGACAATCACCAACTGCCATAATATAATCATTATGTGAGAATCACTTTGTTGCATTTTGTCATTTTAGCTTTAGAATTGCTTCGCTCTATACTTGCGCCTCAAGGCAAGAAGCTCCTGGGTTCAATTTCTGTCTCCAGGCCTTTCTTTGTGCAGTTGGCATGTTCTCCCCGTGTCTGTGTAAGTTCTTTTTCTATTTCTTTTATGTTTTTCAATAAGATGAAGACAGCATGTTATACTCTTTCTGTTGGAACAAACACAGTGTATTATGTAAGAAAGAGAAACAGTCTTTGCAGAGTAATTCTAAGCTCACATTTCCAACAGAATCCAATCTCACAGCGCCGGAACATGCAGCAATAGAGAAATACCTCGAGGGCCAGACTTTATATTAACAACCTAAAGAATGTCAAGTGGATCAGAGGAGTCAAGGAAACGGCAGTGCGATGTCAGTCAGAGCAGGAGAATAAGCATCTGTGAATAAGAAAGTGGCTTACACTAGACACAAGACAAAGGCTCAGGGTTAAAGTATGTGCAATGCTGAAATTTAGCGTTTTATCTGGGAGCCTCTCAACAGCAGACGTGCCGCAGCGTTTCCTGTCACTGTGGCAACTGGCAATCGCAATGGGCTTCAAATAAGAGCAATCAATATGAGAAAAGAGCAGATTAAAAACATTGATCGGCAGACAACAATGAGAGTTACACACATGCAAAAGGAAAACGAAAGATACACATAAGAAAATCTATTGTGTATATTTACAGTTTCACAATGACCAACCAACCAAACCTGTATATAAATGTTTCCCTAAACTCATTTGGAGAAATCAGAAAATGTCTTGTGCCCTTGACCGTCATAGTTCAAAGATTCGTCGTAGCATACAGACTTTAAAAACTCAGCGTTTGGACAGATAGGGTAGGGGTGTTTGCGCTCATCTATGCCAGAAGAACTTGCATGATTGGAGATGACAAAAGATGAGACATGTCAGAGCAAACATGTGTCTCTGAGCGGTTAATTAAAGTACCGTAATGTCCGGACTATAAGCCTCTACTTTTTTCTATTTCTTCTACCCCTGAGGCTTATATAGCGATGAGGCCAATATACAGTACGTGCATTGATGGGCAAGCTACTTGATTTGTGTAGTGAGCTAAGCTACAAGCTACTCTACAATAAATTCAGCTTCACTACACAGAAGCTACCACCCATACAAATGTAGCAAGCTAAGTTACAAAATTCTGTCAAAAGTAGCTTGCTATATAGAAGCTATTTTCAATTAAACAAACTGCAGTTCATGCAATTTTATATTTTCCTGCATTAACATGTTTGCTCATTTCTTATTTTTTGCACAATTCTTGAGTGTTTTATCCATGCCAAATGTGACATGTACATTTCTCCTGTGTGAGATTAATAAAGCTTATCTTATTTGAGATAAACTGTCAGTCAGATAAAGGTTAAAATGTTGTAGATATTTATTGAACAATAGCCCAAAACACCAAAAACAACAAAGAGTAGGCATCTGAAAACATATTTCTTTTCGCTCATCTCGACTAGAGTGACGTACTTTTGGAGGTATGGCCACGGTACAACACTTTGAGAGTCCTTATCATGGTCCTCCTCCACCGCGGCTGCTCCTGGGCTCTCTGCCATGCTTTTGCTTCCCCCAGTAGCACGCGCGCATGTGTGTGTGTGCGTGTGTGTGTGCGCGTACGTTCGTGTGTGTGTGTGTCGTTACCAAGCCCTGCGCATGCGCATCAGCATTCTGTCTTTCTATGTTTGTTTTATGCTGCGGGAAAATGCTGTAATATATGAACATCAGAGATGTCCGTGAGAAAATAGCTTTGGCGGACGCTACCGCGCTACTTGAGCAATAATATAGCTTAGCTACAGAAAAGTTACAAGGTTTTGTAAATAGTGACGCTACTGTCAAGCTACTGAAAAATGTAGTTAAGCTAGTAGCGACGCTACTTGTAGCGACGCTACTGCCCATCACTGAGTACGTGTTGTTATTGTGATAGAGCTGTCAAAGCAGAATTTGTCGCCCTATTACTTCAACCTCATCAAGTTTTAGTAGCTATCGGACACTTTCTAAAACAGACTGGTGAATGAACCAACATTAGCTTCTATTAGTCGTTCCATTAGTTGTCTATCTGCTTCATTTCAACATGAAAACTTGCGGCTTGTATTCAAGTGTGGCCTATATGTGGACAAAACCGTTTTTCTTTTCAAATTTCGCAGGTGCAGCATATATGCAGGTGCGCCTTAAAGTCCATAAAGTACGGTAATTAAAGGCAAACATGATAATTGTAAAATGTGAATCCAAGATATTGACAAGATGTTGACATAGGCCTTCCAACGGGGGCCATGCACAAGTTCTACAGCCCCAAACAACGCTGGAATTTGTATTTTTACCCAGGCTAGGGAGGCGATGAAAGTAGGGAGGAGGGAGAGAGAGGAAGGGAGGATACAGAGAGAGGCAAGTATTTTATATGTATTAATGTAATTTATGAGTGACACCTTAGACTTCTTATCTGGAAGCAAAGACTCTCTGTATGTTCAGGTTTCTCATGTGTATTTTTAGTTTTTCATGATATCAACCTAATTGATAGTAATTTTTCCACCACAATGCGTACACTTTACAGATTCAGAATGCCATGGATGAGGAGAAGGTCTTTTACTGTCCCTCACTTTAGACCAGTGTTGTAAGACCGGTGTGTGTATTTGTTTAACTATTCAATACACTTCAATGAGAATGACTTAGCGGCCTTAATACAGACTATAGAGAATATTACTGGTTTCAGTTTCAGCTGGTGGTGTGCCATGCTTTTTTCCCAATTAAAAAAGATGGTTGGAGAACACTGATTTAGATATTTAGATTTTGCATATTCCACTGTTTATTTATGGAAGCAGGCCACGTTACATGTCTGATGTGTGGAAACAGGGCCACGCAGTTACAATAATGCGATCAACAATGATGTATGTTTTTTAGAACAAAACTGGAGTAAAGAAAAAAACATCTCAGAGGAAATCAACATTTAGGGACATTGGTCATCTGCGTTATATCAACCGATGGCTCTATGTGTCTTTTATCATTGCTTTTTCTGTGTTACAAATGTTTGATCTGTGTTGGCCAATTCAACGGTTTTGTGAAAGTCCTCTGAGATTCTGTTGGGATTTAGGGCTAAACAAGAATATATTGAATTGAATTGAAAACAAACTGTTCCCAGACCCCAGAAAAGTGAATTTTGAAAATGGACTGTAAGCCATAATCATCTAAATTATTACATAAAAACAGAACTTTTGAACAATATTTGAATATATTATATAATTTGAATATTTTTTGAGTTCCCCTTTGTCACTAATTTTCACACACCTATTTTTGGCCTCTCTCAAATCTTTACATCAGCTTTTTTGGACAGAAAAGAGAATTGTTGGAGCCAAATATGTAGACGCTTATTTGACTCCAACCCTTCTCACTCATTTAACCCAACGCACACATTCGACACAAGCAACACACAAACACACAGACCCAAACACTCTGACCTGTTTTAAAACAAACAGGTTTGAACATGTTTTTAATCTGTCACACACATTGATTTTAAAGTAGTAAACTGTAATTATGGTGTGTATCTCTGTCATGACACTGGTTTTGCGCATGAGGTGGTCAGCACAATGCTATCAGAGCCCTGTGTGATGGATGGAGACCCCTCTTACCTCCTTTTCTGGTGTTTACCATTTCTCTGCGACTTGGGAGCAGTTTTGCCAATGTAAATCTTTTTCATATTTGTCCCTGGTCTTGGAGCCTCTCCCCCACGCCTCTCTTTAAGTGAAGCCTGGGGACGCAGATAGTAGCTGGCTATCTGCGGCGGCCCTGGCAAGAGAGAGCACAGGAAAACAACTTTCAAACACGCGTAGCTTTGGGTGATGACGAGAGTGAAAGAGTTTAAGGAATCAAATAAATGTGTCGTTTTTGGTTCAAAGTGAGGCACAAAGTTTGGCGAGACATAGAATTAGCGCATGCATATTCACAGACGTTTCCATTGCATTCAAACATTCACTCCAACAGGACATGCGGCAAGCACATTTATCTACCACTGATAAATGAGTAAAACAAGGCTGTCGAAAAGAGAAACTTAGAGCCTGGCAGTTAGATGTATGTAGGAATCATAGACTGTAAATATTAGCGGACGTACGCCTCTTTCCCCTTTTGAAATGTATGTGATCATTGCAGAACTTTTCAAAAGGGCCGCAAGCAACACCTGCCGCAGAAAAAAATTGAAAATAAACTCTGGGAGCGGAGGCCATGAGCCTAACACATGGTTGAAAAAATCTATTTCATTCCATTCCATCTTCTTCCGCTTCATCCGTTGCCGGGTCGTGGGGGCAGCAGTCTAAGCAGAGACGTCCAGACTTCCCTATCCACACACACCTCCTCCAGCTCGTCCGGGGGGACCCCAAGGCGTTCCCAGGCCAGCTGAGAGACGTGTCCTGGGTCTTCCTCGGGGCCTCCTCCCGGAGGGACGTGCCCGGAACACCTCCTCAGGGAGGCGTCCAGGAGGCATCCGGAACAGATGCCCGAGCCACCTCAACTGGTTCCTCTCGACGAGGAGAAGCAGCGGCTCTACTCCGAGCTCCTCCCGTGTGACTGAGCTCCTCACCCTATCTCTAAGGGAGCGCCCAGCCACTCTGCGGAAGAAGCTCATTTCGACCGCTTGTATCCGCGATCTCGTTCTTTCGGTCATTACCCAAAGCTCATGACCATAGGTGAGGGAGGGAACGAAGACTGACCGGTAAATTGAGAGCTTTGCCTTTCGGCTCAGCTCCCTCTTCACCACAACGGTCCGATACAGCGACCGCATCACTGCGCACGCTGCACCGATCCGCCTGTCAATCTCACACTCCATCCTTCCCTCACTCGTGAACAAGACCCCGAGAAACTTGAACTCCTCCACTTGAGGAAGGACCTCCTCACCCAATGGGGAGGATTAAGGGGAAGAAGATGGATGGATGGATAGACTGTATATACATTTTCAATGCTAACTCGCTAGCTCAATGTAGCCCCATAGGGAATATCTCATGATAAAGATATGGCTCCAGTTTGTGTCACACTTTTGGCTTAAGAAGTGTAATTTAGAGCTCATTATTAAACCTGGTGTTTGTATTAAGCTATTGTCATATCACTTTGATTCTTGGATTCACTTCATCATTGTCGTCACTAATGAAGCTGTTTAAGAGAATTGATGAAAAAGGAAATGGTCCGACTGTAAGTGACCTCCCTCCTCCCCCAGGCTGGTCTCTGGGGCGGCCTGTGCTCGGGCCTCAGACCTCCGTGGAGCAGGGTGACTTATGGGGCTGTGGAGCAGAGGTTAGCCCTCCATAAATCCGCCTTATGACGGATGTGAGCCTGTTTCCACCTCCATCCCTCATCATCTGCTCACAGCTCCAGGCTCCACATCCAGCGCTCCAGCAAAACCAGAGCACCCAGAGCCACAGCAGCTGGAGGGGACTGCTCAGTTGTACAGGCCGGATGCTTTTGTGGAGTTTATTAAAGCTGAGGCATGTCTCATGAGAACAATTCAGACAATAACATGCAATATATTTTAGTGTTTTCACTTTTTGGTATGAAATAATTGATTCAAGGCCAATAATTCCTTTCACATTTGGTTTTATTTGCACACCCCTGTTATAAACAAGAGACCACTTCATTATATTACTGCACTGTATATACCGGGCATGGGCAATCTTTTACTCCTGAGGGCTCCATTGTAATATTAGCCTGCTGTCGGGGCTGGATATAATTTCCATTGTTTATTTCAGGCTTACCTTTTTTACACAGACATACATGATGTAAAATATTATATCCTAGGGCAGAGTGAGGAGTGCGACTGTGGGCTCTGAGACCTGTACAAAGCAAAGATGGATTTTCTAGTCTTTATAATATATTTATATAAATATTCTATGTCTATATAAACTGAAGAGGGCCAAGGTGCCTGGAAGAAGTGACCAAAGGGCCACATCTACACTGTATACTTATGTCTTGTGCTGGAAGGATGAGAGGGGGGGGGGGGATTGAGATAACATAAAGATCAGCTTTTCAAACTGCATGCACTTCTAAATCTCTATATCTCAGTCTGTCAAATGTGAATGTTTGAAATAAACATTTATAATGTGTTTCCACTGAAGTACACAGCAACAGTCTAATGGGCTCTCATCAGGAGGATGGGCTGAAGGAAGCTGTCACATGCACCAACAACATACTTCTTTTTTCATTTTTATTTTCTTATTATTATTCTCATTATCACCAGCAACATACTTCTAATTGATCAAGAAGATAACAAATTAGATAAATAAAAGCAATGTGAATTGTTCGTGAAAAGAATGGGTTTCCCACTAGTGATTGGGTTATTGTGCTTGTATGTCCGCAGTTCTATCTCTATAACTTCAGATCAAAAGGTCTGTGTTTATTGAGAGATGCACATTAGTCCAATTACCTGCCATAATCAAACATATCAGAAGCAATCCCAATAATTATATTTGAACAATAAGTATTAATATTGTTCCAATAAAAAGCTATTTACGTCTCCAAATTAATGTTCAAGCTTGATATTACGGGTGTTCACATCATACATGTAGAAGGACATTGATTAATGCTAAATATTGAGTCAAATTGATAGATAGTTTAATATTTGCTGATACAATACTTTTTTCAGTTGAAACCTAATTTTTTTATTTCAGATTAATGTTCCATACTATGATATTGTTGTATCCATAATGAGATGATCACTTAAGACATGCATGTCCAAACTCAGGTCCGTGGGCCAATTGCGGCCCTTTGTGCTAATTTATGTGGCCCATCAGCTGCTAACACAAAGTCACTATTGAGGCATTCAACCAACCAACCAGCTCCACCAATACAGTCATGATATGCCTTGTTTTAAATTTCGGACCCTCTGGAATCCAGTTGTTGACTCTATTTTTATATACTGACATTTATCAGATGTTTAATGATTGTGTAACAACATTCCAAATAAAATGCAGCTGAAGTGTGAACCAATAAGGACGTATCAGAACCTGCTTCAAATTCCAGAATCCAGTCAATCCGGCTGGAATTCAGGTTTTTAAATCCAGGTGATCGGCCCCAGGTCAAGTCTGATGAACTAAATTTGCCCTCTCACTAAAAGATTTGGACACTCCTGATAAAAGATATTAAATTGTAAAAGCAACATAATCAATCAATCAGTGCTTTGCTTAATCTCACTTCTTCCACAGATATTCCACCCATCTTGCCTTGCTCCTGCCAGCCTCCTCCCACCACCCCTAACACCACGAGTCATCACTGGCCACCCAAACTTCCTCTTGTGTCCGGTGAATGGCCCAAAAGTGCCGAGCTATTCACAAATCCAGCACGCGCCGCAGGTTAACCAGCAGCAGGCGTTTATCAGCCTACGCAGAGTGGAAATGCATGGTCGCTCTTCAACAACAGAATGTTTTTCCAGCTGATTTAAATGGTTCCAGCACTTATTATTTATAATCTCCCCCTGCACACGGGCCAGGGAAACAATGCAAGCTTCTGGAAAAGAGACTTAATATGGAGGCTTTTGGTGCTTCCTTATCGACGGGTCCCAGAAGGCGCCGGGGAGGTGGTGCGAGGGCGAGCTGGTCAGTGCCTGTGTACGGTGCTCGTGCGGTTTACTATCTCTTCATGTGAGCGCGGACGTCCAAGTTAATGTTATAATGACTTGAGATATCTGGGGATAAGAACAAGACTGTGGGGTTGCGAAAAGGTGGAAGAAAAGATAAGTTGTGGGCAGTTTTCAATTCAGTTTCCTAGAGTAAAATCAAGAAACGCTCACACTGATAATGTTCAAAACTATAATGATAGATGAGTTGAAGGCCACGTATCTCGAACACTTCCTAATGCGTATTAACTGACGTAATGGCAGCATGTAGAGAATGAACAGAAGGGGTCCCAGGATTGACCCTTGTGGCACTCCACAGGTCCGGGCCATGTGATCAAAGACACAGTTTCTAATCTTTGTACTTCCTGTCTTCTATATAAGACTTAAACAAACTTAGGCCGGTGCCAGTGACATCCACCGCATCTTGTAAATCTCATGGATGATGCACCCATACTCACTGACCTTTTGTGATCTAAACAACTCATCGACAGAATATTTGTCCAACTAATTGACTATCTTACAACCGTACAATAACAGCAACAAACAGTCAATCACAGAGCAATCGCATAGAACAACCACAGAGCAATCCAGAGTGAATTAAAAAGCTAAAAACATTTCAAAACAACACAGACCGCTTCATATGGTTAGAATAGAAAGTTAATAACATGTTTCAGTTCCCCCTCCACTGTCAGATTTACTGTGGCCTGGGCTTGAGGAGGACGTCAGGTTTGATTTAGCGACTGTGTGGGGAGAGGTGAACACGGCACTGCAGATAGACTATTCACACACACCAAATGAGCACATTACACTTTAATGGCTCCCAGGCAATCTCTACTGCGTCTGCTATTGATGAGGATGGAGCAGGTAATAGGCTTAAGCCACTGGGACGGTACCCAACAAAGGCTGCAGCGCAAACTTACATTTATTAGAAGAGAAATTGAAAACATAGTGCAGTTTTAAGGGCCTATATTGTGCTAAACTGATGATAAAAATACAGGATGTTGTTTCCTCATCAAAAAACCCTGTCTCTCTCCACAGCTGCACACTGGTGTTAGCTAATGAATGTCACAAGAGCTTTAAAGGTCCACCTTCTCAGCCTTCATTATAGGTAAGTATGAGGCCAGAATAATGGATTATGTATAAAGCCTTGAATTGAATGAGCTGAACATCAATTATAAAGTAAAGCCAGGAGTTGAAGTGGTGGAAAAAGTACTGTTAGAATGAAAGCACTCTCTCTTCTTACTATTATTTCCATTTATCGCTGATTTGGTTGGAGACTTGAATGATGTGAATGATCGAACATGAAGCCAGTTCAGAGCAGAAGACGACTGGGTTATTATCAACTATAGTATTAAGATTAAGAGATCCTTTATTTTCCCGCATATGTAAGGTGTATTATTATCATTACTATTATTATTATTATTATTATTATTACTGGATCTTTTTCAAAAAAGATCATTTTGCGTGTCCCGTTGGCTAATCTTGTTTTAAAACAGTCAAAATGTGTTCAAATAAAGATATATTTTGGCAATTTGAACAATTGTCGAGGGGTGCAAAATGGGTGGTGGGTTTTAATATGGTTTGTTTTATATTTTATGCATGTCGTGTGTGTTTTTAATATTGATTTTAATTTGCACCACCTGAAGCACCCCGGCTCCCCACGTGACAATTAGAACACCTGTGCCACGGTACAAAAGGAGATGGGGAGGGGGCAGGAGATGGAAACGGAGAGGGAGCCAGACACGGGAGCCAGGCGCGGCGGGTGAGAGCCCCGTGGTCTGGCGGCCCAGGCCGTGGGGATGCATTTTGGCCTGTTTTAGCCTCTGTTTTAGCTTTTTTGCCTTGTTTTTTAGCTTAGGTTTTTATTGCTTTTATTTACTTGTTTTTAATGTATTTTATAATAAATTGCTTTTAATTCGCTTTTAATCCAGTGGTCCCTTTTTAAATCCGGGTCCGAAGAACCTGCTTTTTTACCCCTGTGACACAATGTCTCACTTTTTGCAGTGAACGATCTTGTTAGACACAAGAAATGTCTCCCTTAGAATGAGAAAATAAAGCAACGGTTTTTGAAATAACACTAAGTGGCTTTGTCCCACTTGCAAATCTTGTTTTAAAACTGTTGGAATGTACTAAAGTTAAGATAAAAACAACTCGATTCAAGCAAATATGACCTCATATTTGATCATTTTTGTGCAGTGTACAGCTGGAATCTGACTTCCCAGTCCGGCCTGAGCGGAGGACTTCTCAGCACTGAGGCTGGAAGAGCAGCTGTAATTAGGAGCGGTGCTTAAATATTCAGATGTTGTGCCTTTGGTGGTGAGCAGCGCTGCAATTCCCTGTGATGCAAGGCTGGAGAAACAGAACGTCTCAGAGCTCCACGCAGCTCCAGGATCTGATGTGGAGAATTTATCAATTACATCCACTTTATAGCTATATTCAACGGCGCCATACTGCTGCTAGAACTGCTGGAGTTTGGAGAAACTTTGATCAAAACATTGGCACTGCAATAAACTAAAAAATATGAGATAATATATTTGGTTTGGTTTGATTTGTATCTTAACTTGAGCACATTCTGAAAAGTAATTTAGTCTTATTTCAAGACTTGCAATTGTTTTTCTCATTCCAAAGAAGAAAACCAGATATTTTTGCTTCACCCAGGGAACTATAAAGCAGTCAAAATCTAGATAAATTTGGCCTAATTTGAAATTTTTTAAAATTATCTTTCAGATTTTTTTGCAGAGTAAAAAAAAC